CAAGAAAGGTTTTCATTTATAACTGTTTTGTGTGTGGAAATAACTTACTTGCAGTGTTGTGTCTATTATTAAATCATTTTAAATTATGTTCAAGCTAGGGTCATACATAGATTTCATGGTGCTCAAATCCACCCCAAAAAAAAAAATTACTTAAGAATCCACGACTGTTGACTGCAAAAAATATACTTTTAATAATGTTGAAGTAACAAAAAATTTTTTTTTAAAGCAACATAAAATAATTAATATGAATAATTACAGTGTTATTATTTTCATTTGTTTTGTAACTAATTCCTTGTAACATTATAAAATTTTAGCAAAGTGAGGAAGCTCGAAGCAGACATTGAAGTCTGGAAGTTGGAGTACATCTCTCTCATTCAGTCCAGCATAAGGTTTACAGGCACAGACACAATGGATGATGCAGAGTTGTCCCTCTTTGGGGGTGACAGGGTATGGAACGATACAGACTTGTTATCCTAAGATGTTATCAAGGTCCATTAATACATACTATCCTAAGATTTGATCAAAGACAATTGATACATATATCTAAATACGTAATTATGAAACATTTCAAAATGATTTGAATCTTTAATGAAATCGTTTAATTAGATGAAAAAAAAACTATAGTTTTTTATTTTAAAAAGACAAAATAATTTTTTAAACTTTCATTAGGCAACAGTTTTTACACACAACAAAGAAAAAATGCATGCTGGTTGCAATGTTTAACAAAGCCCAAAATATTTCATGACAAATATCTAACTTCCAGTTAAAAACTGTTCCCAATCTGTTGACAGCACAAGCACAGAATTATCTCTTTGCTGGAAGAGGCAAGGAAGATAAATCCAAGTCTGCCGACCTTTGAACTCTTATCCTCAGGAGAGGTTCATGTTGACAGCTATGGCTTCAAGCATCATTTCTCAGGTGAAATTTGTAGGAAAAAAATCCAGGTGGCTTGGTCCATTTACATAGATGTGTATCATTAATCCATCCAGGGGGCTTGGTCCATTTACATAGATGTGTATCATTAGTCTATCCAGGTGGCTTGGTCCATTTACATAGATGTGTATCATTAATCTATCCAGGTGGCTTGGTCCATTTACATAGATGTGTATCATTAATCTATCCAGGTGGCTTGGTCCATTTACATAGATGTGTATCATTAATCTATCCAGGTGGCTTGGTCCATTTACATAGATGTGTATATTTTTTCCGTCTTAGGACTCAAGAAATTTAAAAATCATATAAAAATTGACTTTCTGTGCAATGTAAAAACACAATGAAATTTTTTTTTTCCCAAGGAATATATAATATATATTTAAAAATGTTTATAAATTGGAAAGAGTTTCTTCACATCTGCTCTTGTCTTTTCAGATGAAGGTTTGCTGCTTCACTACTTATGCCAGGAGCTAAGTCAACACTTTCTATGCCAGGCAAGCTCATACGAGAAGCACCAAAGAAACTGGCTGCAGTACCTCAAGAATAATTCCAAAAATATTATGGCCAATGTAAGTACTTTGATGATGATGCCTACGTGTAAGGGAGATTAAGGGCATTTCAAATTACATTCAGACAAGCCAATATTTTAAAACTCATCTGATTTTAATTTCTAACTGTCCTTTCTCAAAAGAAAAAAACCCTGAAGGGCCTCGTGAGAGATGGCATCCCAGATGTCCACAGAAAACAGGTGTGGAAAGCCTTTGTCATGGCCCAGGTGGAGGATGTGGTCCTAGAGAAGGGAGCCCATTACTATAGGAGTCTGTGCAGTGCAGTGCCAGACTCACCTGTAAGTATCAGATACTCCTGTCATTATTCACCTTAAAATACCTGGCTACCTGCAAGTACCATTCACATAATTTCGGCTTCAGTTCTGTTTCAAAAATCACTAAAAGGATGTTACGTTTGTAGATACTGAATAGATCTTAAGAAAATAATCATTTTCTTTGGGATTTCTTGTGCGTTCTATGCCTTTAAGAAATGCTCATCATTATCTTTCATAAAGCCTTCTCAACATTCACATCTTTCTAACAGCGGGAAAAATTAATTTATTTCTCTTAAAGTAAAATGTTTGATGTTTGGCCAGTATTGTTGAAATTAGGAGGATTAGTTTGTCTCATTGTCCGTTTGCAGCTGGCTGCCCGCTACAGGAAACAGATCAGCCTTGACCTCATGAGGACCATGCCGAGTAATGTCAAGTTTTCTACCCAGGGCTCTAAAGGGGTAAGTTTGAACAAACCAGTTTACTTTAACACCTGGCTTGATTTAGTGAAAAGGCTCAACGTTAAATGATAATGGAGACTGTTAAAATTGTTAAGATGATCTTTTTAGCAAGTTGTGTCCGTGAAATGGTATCTCACCCTTGTTGCCATGACTGGAACATCACTCAACTGTGACTAATCTTTGCTACCAGGGGGCCATTCATTGAGTACGTCATGCTCCAGAGTAGGGGGGAAAGGGACCTAAGTGTTACATTTTTTGACATGGGGTGGGGGTAAATATCTTTGTGATCTCATATTTCAACATACATATAAAACCCGAAATTGACAGTTTTTGTGATGGATGCATTCTGTCAGAAGTTGTCACTTTTATAAATTTAATAGTAAAGTTTTAGATTAATTTTTTATATTGTTGTCAAAAAAATTTTGAGTTTTAAGATGTGACTGTGGGAGGGGGTGGGGGTGGTGGTGCCCCCTCCCCCTCGCGCGAGATTTTTTTACAAAAGTAGTATGAGGTACTTTACGACTGAAGCATTGCTGTCTACTCACGTCACCAATAAAAAAATAATAATTTATTATTAAAGCAGAGTACGAAGCTGTTAGCAATAAGAAGTCTTAAGGCCAATCTGCTGCACAGTTAGATGGCTATGCTGGCAATGAGATACAGGCCAATGTGCTGCACAGTTAGATGGCTATGCTGGCAATGAGATACAGGCCAATGTGCTGCACAGTTAGATGGCTATGCTGGCAATGAGATACAGGCCAATGTGCTGCACAGTTAGATGGCTATGCTGGCAATGAGATACAGGCCAATGTGCTGCACAGTTAGATGGCTATGCTGGCAATGAGATACAGGCCAATGTGCTGCACAGTTAGATGGCTATGCTGGCAATGAGATACAGGCCAATGTGCTGCACAGTTAGATGGCTATGCTGGCAATGAGATATGACTTGTTACATTTTGGTCTCAATCAGTCAAAAGTGATGTATTGCTGGATCATACTTTTTTTTATGCTTTATAATTTACCCTACGTCATCAAACCTGATGTCTTTCAAATTTGTGCATCACATCATTTTTGTTTTGCATGATCTGATCAATGTTTTGATGTAGCACATATTTTACTACTTTCCTCATCCTTCACCTTGGACAAATGAGAATTATCTTTTAATATATATGTATTACATGATTTTTTTTTTTTTCGTAGTTATCATTTAACTAATTTCTCACATGGATATTATTATATGACCACAGATCATGGATCTGCAAGATGTGCTTCTAGCGTTTTGCATCCACAATCCACAAGTTGGATACTGCCAGGGAATGAACTTCCTTGTGGCCATGGCCCTTTTGTTTATGGATGCCCAAGATGCATTTTGGTGAGTGGCCGTCTAAATATTTTTAAAGTTTTTTTTTTTTAAATGAAATTTTTTTTCAAAATTTTATTTTTTTATTTTTAAATATATTTTTTATACAACTGAATTTATATATCTGCCCATATTTTTTTCAAAAGGAAAAGCCCAGACAAGGGTCCTCAATCTGTAATCTAGGGACTGGCTGACTGTCTCTAAGAAACCGCTGGAGGCCAGACTTCAGTTTGAAATAGAAAAAAAGATGAACCAATTCCTGCACACATCTTATCTGTAGTGCCAAAAACCAAACTACACAAAACAAATCCAAAATAGAACAATATTTAAAATGAATAACAATTTGAATCAACATAAATTTATTAGTATTTTAATGGGAGCACAGGCCTGGCCGGGCTTCTGGCTAAACAGATGGTCAATGGCCGGTTCCATATTTGTTACTGCTACCTTAATACCTGTTTGGCGGCCAGGGGGCTGGGTGAAGGGATCTGGCCTGAGGGAGGTGGTTTGAGGACCCTTAGCCTAGGCCAGAATTAATGGAAATTAAACTTAAGGGCAATTAAGGGGCTTTAAAATAAATGGGCAGGTTTCACATGTCGCAGTTAAGTTTGCTTGCCATGTTTATGGAGTTGAAAAACTCATCACTCAGGCTTTAAAATAAATGGGCAGGTTTCACATGTCCCAGTTAAGTTTGCTTGCCATGTTTGTGGAGTTGAAAAACTCATCACTCAGGCTTTAAAATAAATGGGCAGGTTTCACATGTCCCAGTTAAGTTTGCTTGCCATGTTTGTGGAGTTGAAAAACTCATCACTCAGGCTTTAAAATAAATGGGCAGGTTTCACATGTCCCAGTTAAGTTTGCTTGCCATGTTTGTGGAGTTGAAAAACTCATCACTCAGGCTTTAAAATAAATGGGCAGGTTTCACATGTCCCAGTTAAGTTTGCTTGCCATGTTTATGGAGTTGAAAAACTCATCACTCAGGCTTTAAAATAAATGGGCAGGTTTCACATGTCCCAGTTAAGTTTGCTTGCCATGTTTGTGGAGTTGAAAAACTCATCACTCAGGCTTTAAAATAAATGGGCAGGTTTCACATGTCCCAGTTAAGTTTGCTTGCCATGTTTGTGGAGTTGATAAACTCATCACTCACATAATCTAGGTGTTAACTTGTTTTTTATGTTAAAAGTAAATGATATCAAGTCAAAGCTCTGTGTTATATAGTATTTGCATTTATTTTGGGAGGTGATGAGACCAGCCTGTTGAAGCAGTGGTAACATTATTATCATCCATTAAGGTCCAGTAGGACACAGGTCATCTAGCATCACTCTCTCCATCTCTCTCTCCCTCTGACTTGCTCCATCTCTCTCCACCTCTCTCTCCACCTCTCTCTCCCCCCACTCTCTCCCTCCCTCCCCCCACTCTCTCCCTCCCTCTTTCTCTCTCTCTCTCTCTCGGCCATTCCTTTGCCCTCAGGTTCTCTTCTTCCACTCCGTCCCCCCTGTGGATTCCATGTATCAGCACCAACTCAGTATTGCTTTTTGTTCATCAGGTCATTGGTAGCCGTCACAGAGCGGTACCATTCGCCTTCTTACTTTGACCACAACCTGCTGGGTGCACAAGCTGACCAGATGGTCCTGCATGACCTCATGTCAGAGAAGCTGTCCGAGCTGGCCAAGCACCTTGACGCCATCGACATTGAGATTTCTACCGTGACCTTGAACTGGTTCTTGGCCCTCTTCTTTGATGCGGTTCCATTTCAGGTCAGTGTATTCTCTCGTTTCTTTCATTGGCCAGAGTGGTGGGCCTAGATAAATACAAACACACATTGCAACACAAATACACACACACACGTGAGCACAGAGACTAACACATACACACACATACACTTGCACACACATTAATAGCGCAATCATACACTGGCACATGCTCACACGTAATATCAGACACGTAAAGCACTTTTTCCAAGTTGATTCAGTATGCCATATTTTGTTATTCTGAAGAAGATGTTTGTGAAATGGTTCTCTTCATCTGGGTGCCAGATATCAAGGAGCTCATATTTCCTTGAATTTTTTAAATTTGAAAATCGTCTTTTATAAGCTGCACCTGTTGCATATGGTTGACATGTGTTAGTAGTTCTGTAAAGGCACATTACAAAATTATGTCCAGGTTGGCATATCGTGACATTTTGTGACATATTTTGGCACACTGAAACATATGGGTTTTTTCAGATAAAAAGACATAAGCCAATAATTATTTTATTTTATGGCATTGATTTAAACCAAGGTCTAGAATAAATAGCTCATAGAACTTATGGCATTTTCCCTTCAATGTCTGTTCAACATTTTGTTTACTGTACAATATTCCTTGGTCTTATCATCCTTTTATTACTCTCCAATTTTCCTGGGTTTTATTATCCTGTAACAGTGCAGTATTCCTGAGACGTTTCATCCTTCTGTTTACCGTACAATATTTCTGGGTCTTATCATCATTGTGGTTGCTCTCAATTGTAGCCAGTCCTTCCATTCTTTGTGGAACCAAACCATACCGATATCGAACGCTCCATTCAAGTTACTCATGTGACACTGACTGTACCACCACCCTCCACCGTTGTACCTGGCACAGTGGGAGGATCCCGAATCACTGTCTCTGTCGTAGGTGCTGAACTGTGCCCGTGTGGAGGCGCTGAGGCTGTCTGTGGCGTTACCCTGGTAACCAGCCACATAGAGCCTGTAGTCGTCTTCCTTGCTGCTGATATTGAAGAGCTCGTACCTAGCTTCCCATGTCTCAGAAAATGTGTCTTCCATTACAATCCTGAGCTCATACTTCCCCTGGCTCGTCAAGGCATGGATGACGTCATTGCCTATCCAATAATCTCTAACCGGGTGACCAAATCCGTGGGCGTAATACTCCCAGCCGCGTGTGAAGTTCTCATTTCCTTGTGTTCTCTTTTGTATGACTGTCCAACCCCCGGCACTTTCCTCCTGACTGACGTCTCTATCGTCTTCACCAATGTGTAGCTGTTGTATGAGGGTGTTGTCAACGTAATGCACAGCCTTGAGTATGTGGTTACCTGTGGTGTCCTTTTGAAGACTGTTTCTATGGCTACAGGAAGGGCAGTTATCTTCATGAGCTGATTTCATAACGCAGTACACCTGACTCGCTTGGCCCATCTTCTGAGGGTTTATCAGATATGTGCCAGATAGTGTCTGTCCTTTCCGGAAATGTTCATCACAGTCTGAAATAAATACAATTATGACCATTAGTTCACTGCACTACTTTTGGTCCATACACATCCCCAACTGAGAAGCTCAATCCACTTCACAATAGCAAAAAAGTGTGGAAATGTTTTGTCATAATTTTTGTCATAAATCTCAGATGACCCAAGAGCCAAATCCATCGGTTCTGTCACACCAATTTCATTGGTGCCCCCAAACAACACTGGTATAAAGTATAAACTGAACTTTGCCATTGGGACCAAATACCCTACACTCTCACTGAGGAAGTTTATCACCATTGGGCCATGAATGCATTGATTAGATAATAACATGCAAGCTATATTGCTCTTTAAAAAGGGATTGAGTTTACTGACACAAAAATGACTGATAATGCCCATCGCTGCATCTTGCTGCATCTGACACAATTTAAGGATTCCACTGTAGGTTTAAATGAATCCTTTGCTATATCTATATTGACCACTCTGTCTGACTTTAGATATCAATATCCTGACGTCAGTAGCTCAGCCCACACATTCATGGCAGGATTGTTTTGTTTTCAAAATTTTTTTTTTTTAAATGGGGAAAAAGGCTGAGGGGGGTGTCAATAGTCAGGTATGGCGGAGACCCCTCCCTCAATCAACATGCATACACCTTTTTACCGAACAATCACACACAGAACTAGATCTACCTCTGTAGCTACATGAGTATTGAGAACTTAAAGTGAACACACCTTGTGGTAAATTGTTCACTAGGGTCTCCACCTCTCTCTTCAGCTTCATAACATCCGGGGTCAGTGGCTTTAGCGAGGTGACGTCGTTCTGCAGGGATGCCACCATCTTGTCCTTGACCTTGACGCTGCTAAGTAATCTGAATAGATTCATCTCCAACTGTTTCATCTGGAACACAAACACACCTAGTTTTGTTTTAATGCTTTCATACAACCTCTGTAGCACATCTAAAACACTGAAAGACTTTTCCTTGCGATTGTGCCACTTACACACCAATATCTAACTACACATTTTCCTTGTCATAGTGCCAATTACACACCATTATCTAACTACACAACTTCCTTGTCATAGTGCCACTTACACACCAATATCTAACTACACAACTTCCTTGTCTTGGTGCCACTTACACACGAATAACTTAACTACACAACTTCCTTTTCATAGTGCCACTTACACACCAATTACTTAACTACACAACTTCCTCATCATAGTGCCACTTACACACCAGTTTCTAACTACACAACTTCCTTGTCATAGTGTCACTTACACACCAATATCTTAACTACACAACTTCCTTTCATAGTGCCACTACACACCAATATCTAACTACACAACTTCCTTGTCATAGTGCCACTTACACACCAGTATCTAACTACACAACGTCCTTGTCATAGTGCCACTTACACACCAATATCTTAACTACACAACTTCCTTGTCATAGTGCCACTTACACACCAATATCTAACTACACAACTTCCTTGTCATAGTGCCACTTACACACCAGTATCTAACTACACAACTTCCTTTCATAGTGCCACTTACACACCATTATCTAACTACACAACTTCCTTGTCATAGTGCCACTTACACACCAATATCTAACTACACAACTTCCTTGTCATAGTGCCACTTACACACCAGTATCTAACTACACAACTTCCTTGTCATAGTGCCACTTACACACCATTATCTAACTACACAACTTCCTTGTCATAGTGCCACTTACACACCAATATCTTAACTATACAACTTCCTTTCATAGTGCTACTTACACACCAATATCTAACTACACAACTTCCTTGACATAGTGCCACTTACACACCAATATCTAACTACACAACTTCCTTGTCATAGTGCCACTTACACACCAATATCTTAACTACACAACTTCCTTTCATAGTGCCACTTACACACCAATATCTAACTACACAACTTCCTTTCATAGTGCCACTTACACACCGGTATCTAACTACACAACTTCCTTGTCATGGTGCCACTTACATACCAATATCTAACTACACAACTTCCTTATCATAGTGCCACTTACACAGCAGTATCTAACTACACAACTTCCTTGTCATAGTGCCACTTACACACCAATATCTAACTACACAACTTCCTTGTCATAGTGCCACTTACACACCAATATCTAACTACACAACTTCCTTGTCATAGTGCCACTTACACACCAATATCTAACTACACAATTTCCTTGTCATAGTGCCACTTACACACCAATATCTAACTACACAACTTCCTTGTCATAGTGCCACTTACACACCAATATCTAACTACACAACTTCCTTGTCATAGTGCCACTTACACACCGGTATCTAACTACACAACTTCCTTGTCATGGTGCCACTTACATACCAATATCTAACTACACAACTTCCTTATCATAGTGCCACTTACACAGCAGTATCTAACTACACAACTTCCTTGTCATAGTGCCACTTACACACTACACAACTTCCTTGTCATGGTGCCACTTACATACCAATATCTAACTACACAACTTCCTTATCATAGTGCCACTTACACAGCAGTATCTAACTACACAACTTCCTTGTCATAGTGCCACTTACACACCAATATCTAACTACACAACTTCCTTGTCATAGTGCCACTTACACACCAATATCTAACTACACAACTTCCTTGTCATAGTGCCACTTACACACCAATATCTAACTACACAACTTCCTTGTCATAGTGCCACTTACACACCAATATCTAACTACACAACTTCCTTGTCATAGTGCCACTTACACACCAATATCTAACTACACAATTTCCTTGTCATAGTGCCACTTACACACCAATATCTAACTACACAACTTCCTTGTCATAGTGCCACTTACACACCAATATCTAACTACACAACTTCCTTGTCATAGTGCCACTTACACACCGGTATCTAACTACACAACTTCCTTGTCATGGTGCCACTTACATACCAATATCTAACTACACAACTTCCTTATCATAGTGCCACTTACACAGCAGTATCTAACTACACAACTTCCTTGTCATAGTGCCACTTACACATCAGTATCTAACTACACAACTTCCTTGTCATGGTGCCACTTACACACCAATATCTAACTACACAACTTCCTTATCATAGTGCCACTTACACAGCAGTATCTAACTACACAACTTCCTTGTCATAGTGCCACTTACACATCAGTATCTAACTACACAACTTCCTTGTCATGGTGCCACTTACACACCAATATCTAACTACACAACTTCCTTGTCATAGTGCCACTTACACACCAATATCTAACTACACAACTTCCTTGTCATGGTGCCACTTACACACCATTATCTAACTACACAACTTCCTTGTCATAGTGCCACTTACACACCAGTATCTAACTACAAAACTTCCTTTTCATGGTGCCACTTACACACCAGTATCTAGCTACAAAGTTACCCACTTACACACCAATTACTTAACTACACAACTTCCTTTTCATAGTGCCACTTACACACCAGTATCTAACTACACAACTTCCTTGTCATAGTGCCACTTACACACCAATATCTTAACTACACAACTTCCTTGTCATAGTGCCACTTACACACCATTATCTAACTACACAACTTCCTTTTCATGGTGCCACTTACACACCAGTATCTAGCTACAAAGTTACCGCGACATCATGCCACATCTACACCAATACCCTTAACATGTACCTTGTCCTGTAGAATGAAAAGTTCAGTTCTCATATGGTCTTGCCTTTCACCAACGGTGCGTATTCTCGACTCCTGTAATGTTGTAAGAATCACTTTGAAAACCGTATTAGATACCTGCTACAAGATAGCTTAACGTAAATAGTACTCCAGTTTTGTAACAAATATTTTACAAGTAACTAAAGTATAACATAAAATATTGAAATTACCACAGTAGAAAATATTAAAATTATATTACAGCCTGTGGTATTTCTTTGACCCATTACCTATACCTTAATAAGTACAAAATGTGTCACAATTAGACCTAACCGTAAAGCGGTAGATTGTTCACCGCTAATCTGACCTGTTCGAGCTGTGTCGATGACTGCTTGCATGTGGTCAGCGACTGGTTGAGCAGGGCAGCCTCCAGCGTGGCCAGTCTGTTGGCGTTGTACAGCAGCTGGACACTGAGGCCCTGTAACATGGCCAGTGTTTTAGGTGGCGTGGGGACGGCCTCATCGATTATCTGTTGGTCACAGTCATGGGATGGTAACAGTCGTTAATTTAAGTAGTTGAATGTTGCTAACTTGATCATCATTCTTTTATAATGTGAACATACAATATCAATTCCAAAGCATTATCTTAATATATCCTGAACAGCGCCCTACGTTATTATACCTGGCCCCAACTGCACCCTACGTTATTATACATGGCCCCAACAGCGCCCTACGTTATTATACCTGGCCCCTACAGCGCCCTACCTTATTAAACCTGGCCCCAACAGAACCCTACCTTATTATACCTGGCCCCAACAGCGCCCTACGTTATTATACCAGGCCCCAACAGCGCCCTACGTTATTATACCTGGCCCCAACAGCGCCCTACCTTATTATACCTGGCCCCAACAGCGCCCTACCTTATTATACCTGGCCCCAACAGCGCCCTACCTTATTATACCTGGCCCCAACAGCGCCCTACCTTATTATACCTGGCCCCAACAGCGCCCTACCTTATTATACCTGGCCCCAACAGCGCCCTACCTTATTATACCTGGCCCCAACAGCGCCCTACCTTATTATACCTGGCCCCAACAGCGCCCTACCTTATTATACCTGGCCCCAACAGCGCCCTACCTTATTATACCTGGCCCCAACAGCGCCCTACCTTATTATACCTGGCCCCAACAGCGCCCTACCTTATTATACCTGGCCCCAACAGCGCCCTACCTTATTATACCTGGCCCCAACAGCGCCCTACCTTATTATACCTGGCCCCAACAGCGCCCTACCTTATTATACCTGGCCCCAACAGCGCCCTACCTTATTATACCTG